TTCAGATTTTTTAATTCTTCTTTGTGCTTGCCTATCTTAGTAGTGTTGAGAGATTTATCTTCTAGCTCATTAGTTCTGGCGTCCATCTCTTCAGTTCTACTCCTTTGCCCTTTCAGTATATTGTGTATTATTAATCGTTTGGACTTTTTTCTGTAGGTTTTGAATTGTTTCCAATACTGTATTTATCTTATTTGATTGTTCCTGTAGCACTTTCCTGACTTTTCCTTATTTTTCTCAACTCCATTGTATACTGTTTTGATACATTTTATAATCATTTTTCTGAATTCCTTCTCAGGCATCTCCAAATCCTCCCCATCTTCCAGTATGTAGTGTAGGTCTACTTCCAGCTCATTTGCCTCAGTCACTTTATCTCATTTCTGGACATGTGCCGATGTGGTCATCTGTTTTTGTTTTTTGGGTATATTCAGGAGTTATCTGTGGCCTTAATACTTAGATGGGTGTGTATTTTGTGTTTTTTATAGTTTCTGATTGCCTTCAGGTAGATGTGATCAGGAAATGGGCTTCCCTTTTCCCTCTTCTTCCTTAGAAATTTCAAGATGCCACTATTGGTTGTTGTGATGTGACTCAGGATTTAATTTTTGGCCTATTTTCTTTTTAGTCTGTCTGTCCTGCTCTACAATCCCCGTTCAGGCCTTTTTCCTGATGATAAACAGTTCAGGGCCAGCTGTGGCTGTTCTGCACTGCCTTTTGTTTTTAAGTAGAAATTGTCACTTTAAATTTCAAGGATATCTGTGCACATGTATAGTAGATCCCTCCCGGGGTGGGGGTGGGGTGTCCACTTGCTCAGGGACCTCTTTTAGTCACCACAATGAAGATGCTCAGACAGCTAGAGACCAATGAGCAGATGCAGAACAAAAAGAATGTCCACACCTTTATATCCGAGGTTCTGTCAGTTGTCCGTGCATGGCTTCTCTAATCCTTTCCCTGCTTGGTCTTGTCCAAGATGGTGGCTCCGGGAGCTTCTGAGTGTCTTGCATTAGAAAGCAATGGATTTCTTGCTTTTGCTACAAATTCTCTTAGCTGTGAGTCTTCCAACCTTCTAAATGTTCTTTAATATGTGGTTCAGAGTTCTGGCACCATCCCCTGAGCCTTCATGGTCCGGTATTCTGTGTTGTTACTGACAGAGCTCCTCACTGTACTTCTACCTGGTCCACCATCTTATTTGTTCTCCTCAATAAATTTTTTACACACGGAATCATAAGTAGTTCTATCATTCTCTGTCTCTGTTATTTATTTATTTATTTTTTAGCTTTTTGTTGTGACCTAGGTGAAGATTTACAGAGCAGGTCATCAGTTTTACATTCAAGAAATCATACACATTTTGTTTCATCTCACTGATTGCAATCCCCTCTATGTGACGAGTTGTTTCTTTGTTTCTCATCACTCTCAATGCTTCCAAACCAAGAGACACCAATAGTTGTGCCTTAGATGGCCAGTCATGAGCTTTTAAGACTCCAGTTGATACTCAACAAAGTAGTATGTTTGGTTGGTTGGTTGGTTTTGTGCTCTGGAGTCGGTTCTGACTCATAGCAACCCTGTATAATGTTTCCAAGGCTGTAAATCTTTATTGGAGCAGAAAGCCTCACCTTTCTCCTGTTGAACCGCTGGTAGTTTTGAACTGCTGCCCTTGAGGTTAGCAGCCTGATGTGTAACCACTACACTACCAGAGCTCCTTAAAGTAGGATGTTGAACATTGTTTTTGTAGTTATTTTTGTTTTTTTGGCTTCAACATTAGGCACGTTTATTGAGAGTAAATCTGAGGGCAATCAGTCAGGAGAGACTAAGAAACCCGTCTGTCTGTTCCTTACAGACTGGGGTATTTAAGTCCATCTGGTCCTGGATACAGTTTTGGTGAGTTTCCAGTGGGTGGGGTTATGGAGATTTTCCTGAAACCTGAAACTACCAGGGGGAGGGTGTCTTGTTGGAATACAGACTTATGCTTTCCAGAGACAGGAAGCTTAAGCAGGACTTTATTGGGCACCACTTGGGGGGCAGCTGCAGTGCCATTGTATTGATCAGGAGCAGGGTCCTTCATTTCAGACTCTTGATGTTAGGGGATTGGGATAAAGGCAGATGAGTCTCTTTGACTGTTTCTTGCTGATTTTTGGGTGTAGATGGGGTGAGTCTGCAACAGAGGAGCAGTTGCCCCCTGATCTTTCGCAATGGCAGTGAGTCGTCCTGCAAGAAATCCTTGGAAAGATTTTATTATATAAGATAGGAACACAGCTCCCAGGCAAAGGAGGAGTAGAGGTCCTAAGAAGGGTAATAACCAAGGGAGGATATTTTGGGTGAGCCATGAGCTTGGAGAATTGTTGGAATTCAGCCTTGCTGCTGCTTCTTTTAATCTCCTTATACCATCTAGGACTAGGCCTGATTTGTTTACAAAAAAGCAGCATTCCTCATTGAGAAATATACAGGTGCCTCCTTTTTTGGCTATAAGTAAGTGTAGGGCTCTTCAATTTTGGAAAACTATTCTTGCTAGGGAGTCAATCTGATCTTGAATTTAGTATAGCTGTAGAGATATTTCATCTAAGCTTTCTTGTAGTGAGGAGAATAGGGCGGCTGAGACTGAAATTCCTGTTGCTCTGGTTCCTACACCTGCTGCGGTTTCTAAGCCCACAAGTAAGAGGGTAAGTTGCAAGGCTCGTGTGTTTTGGCTCAAGGGAGTGTTTATTGGGACTAAGATAGGTTGATCTTCAAAAGAATAGGTTACAGGTGGGGATATGTATGCTAGAGTATATGTACCAGTCCAATAAGTAGGTAGGCAAATGTAAAGGTTTTTTCTACATAGGAAAGATACTCCTTGTTGTTGTTGTTAGGTGCCATCAAGTCAGTACCCACCCATAGTGAGTGACCTTATGCACAGCAGAACGAAACACTGTCCGATCCTGGGCCAACCTCACTACTCTTGCCACGCTTGAGTCCATCGATGCTGCCACTTGACAAATCTATATTGTTGGGGGGTCTTCCTCTTTTTCTCTGACCCTCCACCTTACCAAACATGATATCCTTCTCCAGTGACTGGTCCTTCCGGACAATATGTCCAAAGTATGAGAGATGAAGTTTGGCCCTCGTGGCTTCTAAGGAGCACACTGGCTGCACTTCTTCCAAAACGGATCTATTGGGTCTTTTGGCAGCCCATGGCAGGGAAGTGCCGGAAGTCCTGTCGAAAATGTTACTTTTTGATAAATAGTAAATTTATGTGTAACTCAAATTATTCTACTTTGGATTTATTTATTTATATTTTTGGACTTGTTTAATATCTTTATTAAAAATTAATAGATCAACAAGCTAGAAGCATATAATAATTTTACAGTGCAGAGTTCTGTGTTTGCAGCCATGGGGAAGTCAAAAGTAGGAACACTCTGGGAAATTATGAGATTTTTGGTAAGGGTGGACCTCAAGTGCTAAGCAAAAAAGAGAATAGAAGAGCAAAGACTTTACAGAGCATTGTTGGTAATAATACAGATTACAGATTTCATTCCGTAGGCGATGAGGAGCCACTGACAATTGTAAAACAAGAGTTTATGTTATTTAACATATTTTTATTTGCATTCTAAAAATATTTATTTTGTGGTTTGTGTTGAGTGTGACGGTTCTGAGCAAACTGGCCAGGGTTTTGTTTTCTTCCAGATGTAAGATGAAATGAGTGCCTCCTCTTGCCCTGGTGGAGGCCATGGGATAAAGGGCAAAAATCTGGGAGCTATTTAGGAAGTTATGGAGCTCTGCTAGCGTAGTGGTTACGAATCGAGCAAGGTCAGCAGTTCGAAACTACCAGCTGCTCCAAGGGAGAAAGATGAATCTTTCTGCTCCCATAACGATTTACAGTCATGGAAACCCTATTCAGTGTCGCTATGGGTCAGAACTGACTTGACGGCACTTAACAACAGCAATAACAGTTAGGAAATTGAATCATTGGATTACTTTGGATTTAGATAAGCATATTAAATAGCATTTAAAAAAAGTTATCCTCACAGCTCAGATTTATTTATGAGATGTAGTAAGGCTACACAGATCATAAGGAAAAAGGCACAGATGGCATCTATAGGGATCCATATGCAGTCTTACTTACCATCTCTCCCTTCCACGAGTGGTTGCACAGAACATTATCTTTCCTCAGCAACAATACAGCAACGTGTGTGTGATACTTCTACTTAGGGAAGTCCATTGAGAGATTCAGATCCCAAGGTTTTTATTTAGGGCTGGTCATACAGGTTTTCTATGCTCATCATGTAGCAAAAGTTCAGACTCTCAGAAGGAAAGCAGGAATCTTAGCCATAGTGTTTGAACAAGCAGTCCAATGACAGGGAACCACCCTTATCAGTAACTATTCACTGGGATCACTGTAAGGGCCAAGTTCTTAGATGACAGCCAAGGGCCTGCCTACTATGTTGACTTTTCTGTACACAAAGTCAGGGTCATAATTTGAAGTAGTCAGTTTTAATATTGATTAAAGATGTATATATGTATGTGTGTGCATATGTAAGTATGTATAGATTAAAGATCACTTTCAATTGTGTTAACCCTGTTTGTTGAGAAGACTGAATTGAATTGTATAGATTTGTCTTTGAACCTATGTAGGAAATTAGTATATAATTCCTTAAATCTCTATTCTTTTCTCTAGATGTGTCTTCCTGTCTGATTACTGTCTATTTTTAATCATCCAGGAAGTCAGGCTGTACTAAATCCTTTAATTCTGTTCTTTTTTCAAATTATTTTGCCTGTTCTTAGTCATTTGCATTTCCCTAAGAGTTTTAGTATTGCTTGTCCATTTCTGCATAAAAGCTTGGTGGAATTTTGAATTGGATTGTGTTGAATCTATTGATAAATTTGGAGGAAATTGATATCTTTGTGAGTGTTATGATCTTGAAATGTTGATAAGATATCTCTGTTTACTTCTTGTTCAGTGCCTTGAAATCATTCTGACTTATAGCAACACTACATAGGGTTTCTGAGACTTCTTTTTAAAAATGTTTACTGGAGCATAAAGTGTCATCTTTCTCCTGAGGAGTGGCTGATGGGCTCGAACTGCCAACCACAATTGCAGTTTACAATTGAGGCCTTATCCTATGGAGCCACCACGTTCCCATCTAGTTACTTGGTGGTGGCTGTGTGCCGTGGAATCAGTTTCGACTCATAGCAACCCCGTACAGGGTTTCTGAGGCTATAAATCTTTACGGGAGCAGAATGCTTCATCTTTCTCCCACGGAACAGCTGGTAGTTTCTAAATGCTGACCTTGCGGTTCGCAGCCCGGTTTGTAACTACTACGCTACCAGAGCTCCTTTCTATTTATTTAGTTTTTAAAAAATTTTCTCAGAAATGGTTTGTAGTTTTCATTGTATAATAAGTTTTACTTAGCACATCATTTGTCAGATTTATCCCATAATTTTTAGTGCTATTTTAAATTTTTAGTTGTTTGTTTATTGAGTATAGGAATATATTTGCTCGTTTTAGTACCTTTTTTTTTTCTTTGTAGATAATTAAGTCTGTGAATAAAGACAGTTTTTTGTTTCCAAACTGGAGACCTTTCTTTTCCCTCCTTATTGTACCTACTGGCATTTTCTAGTCCAATATTGAATAGAATTAACGAGATTGAGCATCTTTGACTTGTTGGTCATCTTAATGGTAAAGCATTCAGTCTTACATTAAGTAGGATGTTACTGATTTTTCAACAGGTTCTTTTTTATCTGGTTACTTTATTTTCTATTCTTAGCTTACTGAGGATTACAAAGAATGGTTGTTGGATTTTGTTGATAAATGGCATTCTTATTACCAAAACACATGAAGGATTGGATTCTGTTTTTCTAGTGTACTACATGAATTATGGAGCCCTTGTGTGGTACTGTAGGGTAAGTACTGTACTGCTAACCACAAAGTTGATAGTTGAAACATACCATCTGCTTCTTAGAAACCCTTTGTTGTTGTTAAATGCCTTCGAGTCAGTTCCCACTCAAAGCAACCATGTATAGGGTTTCTGAGGAGTGGCTGGTGAGCTTGAACTGCCGACCTTGCGGCTCACACCAACCTTGCAGTCCAGCATGATAACCCACAGTGCCACACCAGGATCCCAGAAACTCTTTATTGTTAAGTGCCATCGAGTCAGTTCTGACCCACAGAAGCCCTGTTTAGTGTTTCCAAGAAATGGCTGGTGAGCTTGAACCGCCAGTGACCTTGCTGTTTGTGCAGTCTTGCAGTCCAGTTTATTAGCCCACAGTGCCACACCAGGACTTCAGAAACCCTTTACAGGGTCTCTATTAGTCAGAACCCACTTAATGGCTATTAGCAGCAACAACATGACTTGCTTAAGTGGTAATTATTTTTGTGTCATTAGCCTAATTTATGTTTATAGGAACATTTTTCCAGTTTTTGAAGTGGCATTTTAAACAGCTTGGTACATTCTTCACATTTGTGAAATTTTACTATTCTTTTAATTAAAGACATACACACAGGAAAGTGCTTATTCAATCCTTTTTTCCTTTCTGGTGGGGATCTTTTAGCCATTCACAGTCAGAATTAACTTTCTAATAATGATTGAGCCTCAGAAAATTATTTTCTTTTTACTGAGAAGAGGTTAAAGCCTGCTTTTAAAGATTTTTATCATCTTGTATAGAGTGTTAGACCACTTCAGTTTCCCGTTTTCTCATGTTGTCCATCATACTTCTAAGAGGGTTGGGTTCACTTTTCAAGTCTTTCACAGTTTTGTTTTTTGCGCAGCAGCAGCAGTCAAGCACTTCATAAAGGAAGGCCAACACCACTAAAGATACCACTGTAAATATAAATAAAAGCAGGATGACAAAGCAGGCAGTATTCCAGTTGTCGTGGAAAGGGTAAATTTTTTGAACTTGAAAACTGAGGTACTGATAAACAGATGTAGTGGTTTCATTCCAGTAGCTGGAGCTCAAGGAGGCCATTCTTTGAGATTTTATTTCTTATATTGTTCTTTTGAATCTATTAAAAAAAAGAAAAGAAAAGAAATACTTGTAACTAAACGGTACAGACTTATCAATTTAGAGAGCAAATCTTAGTACTAAGATTTATGAGTGAATTTATGTAGACTGCATGAGTCTTCCTTATTTTCCATAAGAAATAATAAAAAATCCCACTATGAATGGTATTTTTGAATTTTTTGCATATCTATGTGAGTGTACTCTGTAAACCACACTGTTTCTTTTATTATTAGACAAATATATATGTCCCTTTGTTTTTTTAGCATTTTATTGTGACTTGGAATCAAGATTTACAGATCAAATCAGTTTTCTATTCAGTATATATCGTCTTTTGTTTAAGATTTATATTCAGAAATTAGCTACATATTGAAGGGTTAAAAAACAAAACAGGGAGCTATTACCAGCAAGAAATCATGCCTTTTTAAAAAAAATTTGTGGTCTGTGTAAAAATTTACAGAACAAATTAGTTTTTCATTGTATTTTTGCACATTTTATTTCATGACATTAGTTGTAACCTCCCTCAATATAACAGACCTCTTCCCACTTCCTCCCTGGGTTCCCTATTTTCATTTTTACTTCTTCCGTTCCTGCCTTCTGAGCTTTGTTTTTGGGCAGATGCTGCTCTTTTGGTCTCCTGTGGTCCGTCTGAGTTTATGAGTGTTCTTCAGACAGCCTATTGCAAAAGGTTTTCTCATTACCCACTGGACCCTTCTCACCTTCTTGTTTCTGTGGGTTTCTGTCTCCTATTTCTACACCTTTAAACTTCTGATAGCAGGCAGTCTGAATCAGGAAATAAAGGCAGAGTGAAAAATAGTAGAGAGAGAAAAGCCAAGTGATAGCAATTTTCAGAATAAAAATAATAAAGTTTTAGGTTTAGACCTTAATCTTGGGATTGTTTGTTAGTATGATATTGTAGTATGAAATGTTTCACTTACATAAATGATTCAGGACACAATGTAAACACCAAATTCAGCTCCCCAAAAGGCATCAGTTACTAAACTATTATTATATTTCACAAAATAAGCTAGCTAAAGTTTCATTATTGCATTAAATTTTGGTCTTCACTTGATTTTTGATACACAATGGGATAGTAGGGAATACTGTGGCTGTATAGGATAAGCAGCGATAAACTGTAAGATTGATGGTTCAAGTACACCAGTTCCTCCACAAGAGAAAGATGAGACTTTTCTACTTCCATAAAGATTTGTAGTCTTGAAAACTCTGTAAGGATTGTTGTAATTGGGAACCAACTCAGCAGCACCTAACAACAACAGCAACACTAAGGATTGAAGATTGATTATATGGAACCTCAGTAATGAGGAACTAAAGAATTTTTATTATCCTGATCTTTAAAAAACATCTGTTTATGCTTACATTTAAACATTAAAATATACTGTCTTTTCTTACACCCTAGAAAAATATAGAAAATATACAAGGAT